GGTTTTTCTTCTTAAATTCCGAACAGATCAAGTTATTTCACAGCTGACTAATACCACGGCACATCTTGTAGCTTTAGAAATATTCAAACTGATTTTCTATAATTTTTTCTGTAAATAAAATGCAGGTTTCAGGTACATACACTACAGAAGAAAAAAAAATTAATTATATGCAAACTGTTGAACAAGTGGGTTTTATTGTTTATGGAAACTAATTTCAGGCTTTTGGTAGCAAACGTAATATATTGGAGGGTTAGCAATTTACACCTCTCTAATTAATTAGTCTTTCGCATTTTAGATTTTATCACTAAGGTTTTATGCCATATTTTCTCCAGAAGATTTGCAAATCAGTATTTAAATACCGAAAATAAAAGGCCACCCTTAATTGGGCACACTGGAACGCCCAGCAGTTATTTCCTTTAAGGTTATATTCTCCCCAGCAGCAGTGCCTGGTGCGGACCCGATCCTGCCGGCATCCGCAGGACTCTTCAGAGGTCTGAGTGAGGGCTCCGGTTTCATACTTCATAAACGGGGGGAATTTTGTTCTCACCCCCTGTTGCCAACGAATTTGAAAATATGTGAATGGAGGAGGAAATGTCCTGTATCCACTCAGAAGAATATTACCTCCTGGTTTATCTGACTGGAGAATTTGACTACGGCAGCCCAGGGCAGCCTTCTCATCCCTCTCCAGCCATTGCCCTCGCACTGCCCCGCTTCTGGAAAGTAAATTCGTGATAAACACAAGAACTAAAATAGTCTTTCAGCCTATTCACTTCGGTGATGTCAAAGTGTCAGGCGACGAGATACTACCAATATGAACTATACCGTCAATCTAAATGCAATCCAGTAACACATTTTGAGCAAAACCACCGGGCGGCTAAGGAAATCTCGGCTGTCCTCTCTAAAACAAAATGAGCGCCGTGTAGAAACAACCTAATTTCAGCTTTAGCACCCAGTGCGGTACAGCACAGCCCGTTCCCAGCAGCGCTCCTCTCGCAGGCAGCTGGCTGGGAGCTCTCGTGGAACGCAGCGATCCCTGCTTCTTCAACAGGATCAACAACTGCCACACTATTATAATGCTAACACTTGTAACTATTTTTATACGGAAAGCACGGTTGTCAAACGTCCATTAAATTAAATTAAAAGCAAGCAGCGATAGCGACAACTGATAGCCACGAACCATAAAAGCTAACACGCTTCTAATACACCCACGAGAAAAATACAGAATGCTGACGCAGCCCGCCTTCCTACCACGGATCGGGTTCAGAGCTGCCCGC